GCACAATTAGGTAATTGTGTTTCTATCAGTTCAATAAGTACATTTTTCTTAAATATACATACATTAAGAAATGTGATAACTTAGATAGTCAGAGCATTGATAATATAGGAGTGAACAAAAAAAAGTCCAAGATGGGCTATGCTTGAAAGCTGGGTTTCTCTTTCCTCTAGGGGGCAAATAGAGGGAACAGCCCTAAAATCTCTACACTTACGTTGTTTGGTTCAGTTTCAAAAAAAAGGGCCAACTCAGAATAACAGTCTAGGCTTGTAGAGATTTATTGTGACATTTGCTTTTCAGAGGAGGATAATATTTAGAGAGGCCTATTGTATTTCAGGTTTTATAATCAGTCATCAATTGAGTATTCTCTAGTAAAGTCCCTAGTAGCCTGATACCTTAATATTTTTGACAAGAACATCACTCTTTGTCATTAGGTGGCTGAACAAATTAACCTGCTTATAAAGTGACAAAATCTTCAACAAATTTTAATTTCTGATGATGATATATGCACGTGGATTTATGAATATATAGATAGATATATCTGTGACAATATTAACAAGTTGAGTGAGGATAGAAAATTGCAGAATGTGAGGCAGGAGAATAGGGCCTAGAGCCAGGGAACCTAAGGACTTCCTAGAACTAAATCAAATGGAAACAATTCAGCTATGACAGGAAATATGCTCTTCATTTACACAGGGCATACCCTAGTAAATGACTTTGTAACTTTACCTTATCCTTTTTATTTACATAGGATGTACACCAAGTAACTGATGGAAACCTCTAGAGGGTATTTAAACCCAAGAAAATTCTGTAACTGGGCCCTTGAGCTGCTTGCTCGGGGCGCTCCCACCATGTGGAGCATGGTTTCATTTTCAATACATCTCTGCTTTTGTTGCTTCATTCTTTTCTTGCTTTGTTCTATTTGTTCTATTTGTTCAATTCTTTGTTCTATTTGTTCAAATCTTTGCTCAAAACACCAAGTACAAATGTAGTTACCCAAAAAGAGTTTAATAAGAAAACACATCTTGTGCGTTTCTGATATTATGCCTCTTCTCAGGCTGTATCAATTACAGAGAAAAAAACTCTCATACATTTAGGATACACACCTTATGTTAACTGGCATACAGTAATACATCCTAGGAAAAAGATATTATTCAATATTTCATTAAGATTTACATTGTGAAAACACAGAAATTCGGTGTTAGAAAGTGTTTCAGAGTTTCCTCTGGGTCATCTCTTTACCTAGTCCACTATGCTATTGTGACCTGGGGGCAGGAGGAACTCACTGTTCCCTGATCGGGTATGTTTTTTTTCCAGGTCCTTGGGCTCTCACTTGCCCAAGAATGGGTAGGAGACCCTGGTAGTGCGATGATATTGGTTCAAGTAAATATCAGACCCAAAGAGATTTGCAGAAAAGCGATTTATTAGACAGAGAGAGAGAAAAAGATAAGTGGGGTGGGGGGGGGAGAGAGAGAGAGAGAGAGAGAGAGAGAGAAAGAGAGAGAGAGAACTTCCACACCGTCATGGGAGGGGATCCAGAGATGGAGTTGCACAGGTAAGGGGCAGCGGGACTTTTAATCTGGGAGTTACTCCCACCCCATTCAAGTTCTTGTCCTATGAGAGGGATTCCTTCAAACTTCCACTGGAGTGATTGATCTTTGACTTTGATATCGGATTGGCTGCTCGGCCCACAGTCCTCCCATAGCTTTTCTGGGGCTTTCTAAAGGAAGCTCACCTGGGCCATCTATCTTCCCTGGCATGGGAAAGTTAGACAAAGAACTCTAGTCTCCTGGATGTCAGGGGGACAGAGGTGAATAGGTGAATAGAAGTATGGTGCTGGGAAGTTCTTGCCTTTGAAGCCACGGATTAACATTAACACAGTCCTTCAGTATGAGACGTAGAACTCTATTGGGATCCATCAGTTGTGCCTATCAACTGTTGGTTTTTAGATCATCCTAATCCTTACCTTGCTGTGCTGTGTATCCCAAGGAATCAAATTTTCATCACCTGGATAGCCAATTCTAGATATTAATTTTTTTCTGTGCAAATTCCAAGAATACTTCTATTTCTCTACTTGAAACCTTACTGTACAATCATTTAATCTCCTTAAAAATGAATATTAGGGCAACTCTTTGTTTTAACTTAATATTACCGTTGAAAGAGGTATAGGTAGTTAATCTTTTTCATTTGTATAGTGGGTTAGCATAGTTTATGAAAATTTTAACGAGTTAAGTAATTAGGCACTTTGTGTTTTGTATCCACATGTTAGGAAAATCTTCTTAAATCTAATCTTACTTCATATTATCCCTGTCACATCTCCCACTAATGTTATTTACAAATAGTTGTATTTGCTTAGAGAAGCTTCAGCTAGTTTGAGTTATGCATGTGAAATTGCATTCTCATTTCATTGTAGATTTAAAAAATTATATTTTAATTATTGTAGCCTCCTAAAATGTCATAACAATTTAGTTATTTGTAATATATTATGCTTTAAGCATATTCCTTATTTCAGATCCATCTGTGTAATTGAAAACCATAAAATTATTATTTAGAAATTAATGATTGGGGAATGATTTCTGATAATTTCATGATTAAATTATTTATTTCCAAATGAGAAAACAGATTGCAGATAATTATACTGGACCAATTTAGCTCTAACTGAAGTTGTACTTTAATGTTCAAAATCTTAATGTAGCTATAGATGTGAAAGAATAATTCTGTGTTCCACACTGAAGATGACAAGGTAAGACTTTAAAGAGCAAAATTTTATTAATTGTGTTAATATCAACTGATATCACACATAAACTTGAAATCTCAGTGGCATATTTGTAGGCTCTCATACAGTATACATTAAATAAGTAAATAATAATTTAACTAATAAGTCAACACATCTTTCTCATTTCAGCTGGCCTCATGTAATTTCTAGTCAGCCAGAAACTGTAGGCATTTATGTCATTCAGAGTCCACTAACACTCCTTGCAAGTGCTCAAGATAATTTAAATCTTTGACTTCAAACAGGGAGTCTTGAGAAGAATATCCTCATCTTTTTTACTTGTATCCTTACTGTTATTGCTGGACATTGCATTAGTCCTGTTTAAATCGTTTTCCCTGACATTATCTGTGTTTTCATTCACATTCGGTCAACTTAATTTATGGTGCTTTTGTGTTTCTTTAAAAATTGAAAATAAAATTGAATATATTTAAGGAGTACAATCTGATACTCTGCTATACATATACACAGTGAACTAATTAATGCAGTCAAACTGATTAACATGTTCCTCTCTTCACTGCCTTTGAAGCTTTATACCCTGGCAGTGATTTCTTCTCTTCTCCCTAATTTTTTCCTGACTTATGGAGGTCTTTTTAATGTTGTTTTTTTCCCCCCCCCCACAAGCCAGCATCCTTGCATGTTCATGATAGGAGATGTTCCTGGTTGTCCAAAGTCATTATGACCACCATTTCTAATTCTCATTCTTTGAACACATTATTATGTTAGGATTGCCATGACAGGAGTGTCTTCTTTCATCACTCATGCTGTGTGAGAACTCCTGGCATATCAATTATGTATTTCTTCCCTGCTATTTTAGCCGTGGACCAGAAAATCACAGTTCAATGAAAACTGAAAAGAGCATTTATGGCTTATACATCCCATAGTAACATGATTCACATTGAGTTGTCTATACTAGTATTGTGTGAGATAAACTGTTTACATACACATGAGGTTATTTATTGACCAGCTTAGATGTTTGAGCAGCTCTTATGTTTTCCCCCATTCTACTGAGTGGGAGAGTAAAACCTTTTCATATGTATCTAGGAGTAATCCAAACAGATGGTACAAATTCATTTGCATAAAAATGAGGGGCCTTGTATATACAAGTGAAGTACTAATTAGGTTCATAAAAAGGAATCAGCACCAAGAATGATGAGCTCCACAGCTTGATACTTGACCTTCTTTTGCTCTACAAGTTGCATTAGTTAATTTTGTCAACACTATTTCCTTTTCATTCCTACTCCTTGGCTATCTGGAGTAAATAAACATCACTTGTTAGGGATGTTGAAGCTTTATCTTGGCAGTAATTTCCTCACCCTCCTTTTTAGGGATGTTGAAGCTTTATCTTTATGGTAATTTCCTATCCCTCCTTTTTTTCTGCCTTACCTATGCAGTTCATGCTCTGAATGGTAAACATGTTTTCATTAAAAGAGTATTCTTTGCAGGAATTTAATGTATTTAAAGACTTAAAGGAATACGAAAATTAGAACCATTCTGAGATATACTAAAATAAACATTAGTATACTGGTAAAAATCAGTTTGAGAACATAATTTACTTGTTGAGTCAGCTGCCATATGGAATGATTGTTTAAGCAAAAAGTGATTGCTTAAGCATTTTTTTAAATGATTGCTTTTATAGTTGAGTAATTTGAACGTTCATTATTTTAGATATCTATATAGCAAAAGGTAACCTAAGGAATAAAATGTTATATAAAACATGCTTAAGCTTCTCAACTAAAAAAAGAAAAAGAAACAAGGGGAAAAAAGCTGGTTTCAGGAGCATTATATTTGATTATTTGTTTTTCCCAAAACTCTGGAGAATAGAATCAGAAAGTTTGAATTACACTCAAGAAAATCTATTTCATTTAAAATATGTGAAAATTTCAATAGTAGTAAAAACCTATATTTTTGAAAGTGTTCTTATATTTTGACTGTTGTCTACAAGATTAGATGAACTAGGTAGCCCTGATGGTACCAGACTAGAGGATTTTCTGGAAATCAGTCATAAATAAATACCACATTTCACACTATTTTAAGAGAAAAAAACTTGATGGGATAGCATATTAACATTCTTGTACAATGAGCCAAAAATCCCTTCTCTCAGTAATACTCTAAGGAGAATCAATAAGAACAATGTGGATTTGGGAGATATAATGATGAACCTTCATTACTTAATTTAACATTCCCAGAGAAAAAGTATCATTATTCTGCTTTCTCTGTAGGTTGGCTAAGTACCAAGTTGTTCAGGAAAAATATCTCACAACACTTCCAATCAGAATTCAGAGGAAGTAAGTGCCTCAATTAAAACTCAATTTTTAAAAGTAACATATAATTACAATTGTAATTAAATAAAGTGACAGTTGTTATATCTTTTCTAATTTTTATTTGAATAATATAATAACTATAATGGTTTAAATTTCTTTTGGCATCCAATATTAGAGAATAATTTGGAAGATGGAGATGCACAAAATGAAAAAGAAAATATTTAAGTTCAAATATAATTAATCTAATAGTGCCTCATTTAAAAAAATTAGAATAACCAAATTATCATTTGTGATAATAGTGATGTGTACACAGATCCATTTATTTTTCTATTCAATGAACTTTTGTTAGGTACTTATTGTTTGTCAGGCACTGATATTTTCAGCTATTAAAAAACATAATGTTCAATATAATAAGATGGATACGTTCATGGAGTTGTATATGTTTATTACTCAGAATATGGTTTGTGAGCCAGCAGCAACTATTATCACCTGTATGGCTATAAAATATGCAGAATCTAAGATAACACCTGAGATCTACCGAATCAGAATATGTAAGATCCCGAGGCGATCTATATGCACATTAAGGTTTAAAAATAATTGAAATAGAAGATATAATCCAAAGGAGGGTTTAATTGATCTACATCTCATAGTGAAAAATTGACTACCTTATAGTTAGTCTGAGAAATTTTACCCCTAATTTGTTTTTTGGTAATTGTTATTTGTGTTTTGTAATTCACTAAATAATTTCCCTTTAGATGTCACCTACGTAAACTGCAACTTGACCAACAGTTACTTACAGAGAACCAGTTTAAGGTAAGAGTTCAATGGGTGATTTAATATCAATTTGTATCCTGGCTCTGTATTTGTCCTAGACCCTGGATAGAAGCCATGTTATTATACTTTCCAGTCTAGTGCCCACAAACAATTTAGAAAACATGTCCTGGACTGTTAAATTATGGGCTTCTAGAGAGGAGGCACTGTATTCTTTCTTTTTTTTTTCTTCTCCAATCCAGAGGGTCTAGAATTTTACTTGGCTCAGAGTAGAAGTACAATGAAAATTTATTAGATAAACTCACATATACTTTCAGAGCTAGGAAGAAATGGAGTTTTGAGACTCACAATGGTTTATTTATCATAAAGCTCTCCCTAAGGATTGCTTCTTTCATCTCTTTATTTCTTAAGTGTCTTATAGTTATAATTCTATCTGAGGTGAGCAAATAGGTACTGTATGTTTCTCCTTGGCAGGCATCTAAATTTCAAAAATTATCAAATAATTAATTGGCCTGAAGAAATTGCATCCAATTCTTTTCACTAGTTTTATTATGATTTTTGAAAAATATTATTAAAATTATCTGCTTTAGTGACTTTTTAATATGTTTTCTCAGAATATTTAAGGAAAGATCACAGTTGATAAAGAAACATGGCATTATAATTACAACTGGGCTTGGCATTACCAGAACTGTATATAATACGATATTATTTTTTTCATTAATTCTTTCAGATCTCAATATGTTATCTCATTAATTCTTTCAGATCTCAATATATTATCTCAATACATGATTTTACAATCATGTATTTTGTAAATACAGGATTTTTTAAAAGTCTCTGGTGCCTTCTTTATAAATTTACTATAAATTACCTCTCTGTAATTTGCCCATAAATGCTTTTTAATCGTGTTCTATATAGATTTCTATCTTGTTTTAAAGACACGATAATCAATAGATTGCTTCTACTTAGGCTTAAAGCATTTAGTTGTTTTGTTATAAAACAGAGGTAGGATGTGGGACCCAACTCCAGAGGCAGAGTTCAAACATTGGACCAAGTTCAAGTGTTTGAAGTTGAGAATTGGCTAAAACAAGTCTGGACGCAGCCACTATTATGCCATGTCAGTTTATCATTGCCGTGAGAATACCTGGAAGTTACCACAGTCATCCTAGAAATTAATGCACAAACCTCTTAATTTGCATATAATTAAAAGTGGGTATGAGTGCAGAATTGCTTCTTAGTGGCTATTCTGGGCACACTGCCTATAGGGTAGCCCTGTTCTGCAGTATTTCTGCTGCTGCTGTACACTTCCATTTCAATAATACCACTGGCATTTCAGTAATACCTTGAATTCTTTCCTGGCTGAAGCCAAAAGCTCTCATGAGCTAAGCCCCAATTTGGAGGTTTCCTATCCTGCATCAATGCTACTAAAATATTCCATTTTTATTTATAATTTTTCATATAAAATACATACATATTTTTAAAATTCCATAGAGAGAGGAAAGTATGAATTTATATATGCTTAATATTAATGTGCATGAATATATAACAAAAATATATATTATAACAAATAGTATAATACTGTACCTCATTATGTTGTTATTAATGGAAGGAATAATAATCAGAAGGCTATTAGAATTGTACAGATAAGAGGTAGTAACTGCCATTGTGAGGAAAAAGATGGTAGGAATAAAAGACGAGTTAGATTTGAGAACCAGTTATAGCCTCTCTCCAATATAATCAACTTCATATTAGCTGGGCCACATTTTATTTCTACAGATACACTGCCTTCTCAGTGCTGATATTCTTTCTGTTTTGTTTTTCAACATGAAAAACAAAATTATAAAATTTTTTCAAAGAAAATTATTGTGGAACCAACACTATAAAATGTTCTTAGGAAAAAAGAGTAATTCATTATATTTCTTCTGACATCTTTGATTAGGTCCCAGAAATTGGGACCAGTTTTTTTTTTTTTTTTTCTTTTTTGAGACAGAGTCTACCTTTGTCACCCAGGCTGGACTGCAGTGGCATGATCTCAGCTCACCTCAACCTTTGCTTCTGGGTTTCAAGCAATGCTCATGCCTCAGCTTCCCAAGTACCCGATATTACAGACATGTGCCACCATGCTCAGCTAATTTTTTGTATTCTTAGTAGAGGTGGGGCTTTCAGTATGTTAGCCAGGGTGATCTCAAACTCCTGGCCTCAAGTGATCCATCAGCTGCAGCCTCCAGTTATTCTATTTTTGTCACAAATGTATTTGTGATTTAAAGAGTTAAACAAACAACAAGGAAACCCTCAAATCATATTTAACCCCAGATATAAAAAAAATCCTTGAATTTTAAACAGTTCTAAAATCTGTAAGGATATTAGACCAGAAATAATCTTTCTTCTTACTAAGGCCAAAAGAAGAAATGCCTTTTCATGAGGGAAATGTGATTTTCTACTTTTTCACAGACACCAATCCATAATATAAATTATCTTGTGTTTCAGAGAATATAATCAGTTGCACATAGGCTCAGAAAGCAAAATATCAACCAAGCAACAACAAAATCAATATTAATATCGGCCTAATTCAAAGCCCGGATAATCTCATGACAGAAAACATGTCCTTTAAAAAGGAGACGAAATATATGGCTTTATAACAGAACTTTTCAATTTTTGAGTTGGAACCATTAGAGTCAGGAGGTCTAGTCTATTGTTGTTTGTTTGATTTGAATGTGTTGTGCAGCTTATGAATTGATATGCTTATTATTCAAAGCCACATCTCTAAGCCTACCTCCATGTTCAGGAACTGTACACATTAACTATTCTAACGCTCTTTGAGAGCCACTTCCTCATACACAAAATGTTCAACTCTCACATATGAAATATATCTGTAAATGCACATATTGTTCTCAGATCTCCTTATTTAGAGGAAAAAGCAATTCTGTAAGTGTCTATGAATGTGAAAATTTTCTAGAAATTGTGAATTAATGAAGTAAGCGATGAATAAGCGTATGCCATGAAAATATTACTTACCAATTTCATAATGTAAAATTCTGATATGGAACCATTTTATACATCCCAAACTAACAATTTTATGTCATTTTATCTAATGTAATATTTTATAATAGCAATAAGCCAATATTATTAATGCCAATATGGCATTTTTATTTCAACTTAAATGTAAGTCATTTCTTTTGTGTAAATTAAAAATTGTTTGCAAATAAACTTACTTAGTTCTCTTCATGATAAAGTCATTTGAAAGACTGGTATAAAATATAAATGATTATTTGTCTACCTTTCCAGGTTTATTTTCCACCACTGTGACTTTGTGCCCTTCTGTAAGCATATCAGGGAAAAGGAAGTCGATGATTTTACTCACTTACTTTCTCGGTCTCTGGTGTCCTTCCTATAAATTTACTGCAAGAGGTGAGAGAGAGCTACCTAAAATTTTATCTCATTTATGAAGCTTTCTTAGAATTTTTCACTCAGAATTGATTACTCCATGCTTTGTGCTTTCACACTAAAAATTAGTTTAACTGTGATTGGATATATCTTATCTGCACCACTGCAGGGCAAGTTCCCTGAGGTGAAAAGATTATATCAATTCATTTGCATATACCTTGCACAGTCAGTATATTGGTTCTATGCATATACAAAAAAGTGCTCATTGAATTAAATATTGCTACTGAACCACAGTGATACAGTGCATTCCAAACTGTGCATCACTGTAGTACATCTTCTAAAGACATCTTCTTACATTAGAAACTTTCAGTTATCTCCTAATGTTTTTTGATTGCTCTACCACAATTTTCCTACTGGTTTACCAGGCCTCCTGCTGAGATCGTACAGCCAGGAGCTACGCATCTTTCCAATTTGTGTCAGAAAAATGTTGAAATGTTGCCCTTTCTTTGGTGAACTAAACAGCAGGGGATCTGAATAGTTACTCTGGTAACAGAGGTGAAAAAAGCTAAAAGAGTCTCACAAATTTGATTGAGGAGGAAAGATTGCTGAGCCTCACTCACAGGTGAACTAATACATCCCCCAGGGCCAAATACTTTCCTCTTCTAGTTTAGAAACTTAGGGCTCTTTGTGAAGAGAAAGCTGTATTGTGACAGCCTAAAAGGATAATTGCAACCACTCTAGCTGAATCAATCCATGCTGACTTAGTAAATGATGTGGCTTCTTCCTAGACATTCTTCCCTATGCTCCCCTTGCATCTGAAGAGACAGACAAATTTTAATCATTCAAAGCTTACCCTGAAAACAGTGAGTTTCTCAACAACTGCTGCTAGCTGTTTTCAATTGCTCTTGTGTTCACAAGAAATTCAAGTCCACAAGGTGATATGATTTGAATTTTACATTTCACAGGAATTTTAATTCTAAAACTTCCAAGATCAATAACAATTCAGTTTGTACAGCTGAGTTGGAATTTTCTTTGCCAGAATGTCTAGAGATTTGTGGAGAGGCAAGACATTATTGGATCTTTGAGAAAGTGCTGTAAGAAAACTTAATCTTGAAAGTATATAAAACAGACTGGGCAATTACATGATCTTTCTCTGAGAACTTCTTGTCTTTACAAGATCAAATATAAAAATACTCTCCCTCTTGCTAATTTCCAATTATCATTTGGTAATTAAATTTTACATAGGATATCTTCTATTTTAGGTTTTATGAATTATAGTTACTTCCAAGGGCATGGTGATGAAGCAAGAAAGGCCATAAAACAAACAAACCTCTCAAACACCTAACTGGGAAGGAAGTGGTCATTTATTCAGACGGGATCTGTGGCAGCATGGATGCCTAACAGCTGAGCTCCCCTAACAAAGAAAATCCCTGCTCTTTTAAAGACTTACGACTCCAGAAATTACTTGTGAAAGGGTCTTGGGCTTACAACTCTAGAAATTACATGTGAAAGGGTCTTGATCCATGAAGTAGGCGTGGGATACATGACTTAGGTGAGGGTGTGATCCTGTTTAAGTAAAAACAATGCCTTCCAGAAAGATTCCTCTATACCATGCCTGCGATGTATAGGAGTGTGACTAAGGGTGGTGGCCAGGTCTGCCAGCCTTTACTTCTCTTACTGAAGTGCAATGTATATGTCTAGGAGGACGGGCTTTTAGAAGCTTAAGAAGTTTAAGGGTCTCCTTTCTCAGTGACTTTGTGATAATTTATTGATGTGTAGCTCCAAGATCATAAGTGCAGTTTTGTGTCCCTACAATCAGTGAGAATTTTAAATGTGATATATCTCCTTTACATATAGATATGGGTACGTAGATACACCACTTACAGTGAGAAGGGATATAAGTGATCTACAATAAATGAGAAACAAGTTAAATAAATATACAATTATCCAATTCTAGAAAGTCCTATCTATCTATTATAAAATATTTAACAGTCACTTCTTGGAGTGAAAATGAAGATAATTTAGGAGGAGAGTATTTTTTATATGTATCAAACAAATGAATTTGATAAAGGGTGGATTTGGAATTCCTCCAAAATAAGTCTAGCTTACCTCTCATAAATGCACAATAATTAAAACAAACACAATTCTAAAAAAAAAATGAAAATGCCTTGTTTATCTTCTCTATTCTGTTTCTTTCATTATTTTCTGTTCTAAATTAGAAAATAATTATCATTATTTCTGCTATTGTGTATTTGGTTTGTTCTTTTTAAAACTATTTAAATGGTCTTTTAGGTCATAAATTTCTCATTCTTTTCCCCCCAAAATCGCATTTATATGCTATATTAATTTCACTCTATGGATGTTATTGCCTGCATCACACAAATTCGTCTTATTTTATAAATTTTACTTAAGTTTATGTACTAAAAAAATGCAAAAATCATAATAGTATGCCTTAATTAATTTTGTCATAGAAAACACAACCATGTAACTGGTACCAAGATAAAAAATCATTATATAATAAGACACCAAAAGCCCCCGGATCTTCTCTCAGTAACTTCTACTCACACCCAAGAAAGCAATACTATCCAAATTTTAAACTGTTTTCATCAATTTCACATGATTTACATCATATACAAATGGAATCATTCAGCATGTCCTTGTGAAAGGAAAATAAAACCTTGGGACTCAAATTCACTGTGCCAAAAGAAAAACAATAAGCTGAGAGCTAAGTCATCAAGAAGCTGCCTTTCCTTTTCTATCTAAGCAGATAGCTCCAGATAAAAAGTTAAGTATCTCCATAGGTAGCTATTCTATATTGCCCTTACCTTCAAGGTGCTGACTTATTGAGGATTTGTTGAGTTTTACATAATTAACTAGAGATTACATAATTAACTATTTCCCTTTCTGCTCCTGTTCTCTTGCAACATGTTTCCCCTTTATTTGAATATTTAAATATTGAATCATTAAATATAAAAGGCCTCAAAATCATCTTTGTGAAAAGGCACCGAGCCCAGACTTTCTATGACTCTGTGTTTCTATCTTCCAGGCATATCTTTAACTTTGGCAAAATAAACTTCTACATTGATTGAGACTTGTCTCAGATTCAGTTTACATCTCGTTTGTGCCTGGCTACATTTGCTCAAAATTATACTTGTGAGAGTCTTTGATATTTAAGTTCATTTATTCTTGTTGATATTTACTATAGGAATGTATTAATGTACTGCAATATTATATTAATTCTGCTTTAGATGAGCATTGGAGTATTTCCAGTTTGAGATATAAAAATAATTCTCCTGTGAGCATGTGTATCTGTGTGTGTGCATAACCAAAAGTAGACATATATTTTCTCTATATACTCAGAAATGGATCATGTACTTAACTTTCTTAGATACTGGGAAATATTATTCAAGATATTTATACTGATCTATACTTCCACAATCAGTTTAGGAGAGCTCCAGTTGTTCTGTCTTCACACTCATAAGTGGGTAGTATTTTCATTTTCAATTTAACCACTATGGCTTTAAATTACATTTTCCTGAAGGCTAATAAGATGGAGCAAATTTTTCCATTTATATTACCTATTCACATAATCTATTTTTTGAATCACTATTCATTTTTTTGCACATTTTTCTATTAGTTGTCTGAAATTTTCTTTTTGGTTTGTAGGTTTTTAAAATATATTTTGGATGTAAATTTTTTGTTTAATATATTCATTGCAAATATCTTTTTCTATGGTACAGCCTGATATCACCTACTTGATTACGACTTAAATATATTTAATATAGGCTGAATGTGGTGGCTAATGCCTGTAATCCCAGCACATTGGGAGGCCAAGATGGGTGGATCACCTGAGGTCAGGTGTTCAAGACCAGCCAGACCAATGTGGTGAAATGCTGTCTCTATTAAAAATAAAAAATTAGCCAGATATGATGGCAGGCACCTGTTATCTCAGCTACTTGGGAGGCTGAGACAGGAGAATTGCTTGAACCTGGGAGGCATTGGTTGCAGTGAACTGAGATTGCACCATTGTACTTGCCAGCCTGGGGGACAGAGTGAGACTCCTTCCTAAAAAAAAAATTAAAAAACAATTTAAATTTCTATCTCAGAAGTTAATAAAAATCAGGAAATAAATTAGAAAGTACAGAATAATAAATATTAAAAATCAGTGAAATATTAAATAGAAAGTGTTCTGTATATGTACGTATGGATTGCTTGATAAGCACAAGTAGATTGATAAACCTACCTTTACAAAGATGGCAGTAGACAAATAGAAAAAATTGAGGATTCAAATTATCTGATTTCAATTTAAAATTTTATTCTTGAAAACCTTCCTAAAATGTAAGATCAGATGATTTATTGATTTATTAGTAATTTATTCTAAATATTATAAGAGAAAATGAAATAACCCAAGCTGGTCTAGAAAATACAAAAAAGGAAAGTTTTCAAGTTATTTCTATGACATCAAGAATCAACTTGCTCTTAAAACTTGAAAAAAAAAATAGAAAAAGTAAGAAAACAAGGGATAAGCTTTTTTCTTAAATGCAGATGAAAAATTTGTTAATAAAATATGATAAGCAATAATATATTATTGGCTAAGAGGGCTTATTTCAGGTACACAAAGACAATTTATCATTACATTAAACAAGGTAATTTGTCACAATAACAGTAAAGTAATATGATTATTTAAATAAATATAGACAGAGCATGCAAAAAAAATCCTTTCATCAAAGTTAAGCAAAATTGAAATTCAGGGTAATTTTTTAAACCAGGTGCGCGCGCGCGCGCACACACACACACACACACACGCACAGAGAACAAACCAAAACAAACAAAAAGCTAATTAAAGATTCAATAAACTAAATGGGGAAGCATTGAATATGCCTCAATGGTAAGGAATATTTAGCATCCTAAAAACTTAGTACTGATATATATTTTTTTTAAATGCTGGGCCAGGTGTGGTGGCTCAAGCCTGTAATCCCAGCTCTTTGGGAGGCCCAGGTGGGTAGATCACCTGAGGTCAGGAGTTCGAGACCAGCC